TCAAATAAGATTGTCAACTGACAGCATGTACAGTATGTATGACACAGTTAGCAGCCACACTGAGCCTTGCTTTATTCCCCCACCCTGTCTAGATGTGGACGGTAGCGGCTACATCTGCGCCTCTGAGCTGGGCGACCTGTTCCGGGAGGTGGGCTGTCCCATGCCTGGGTACCAGATCCGGGAGCTGCTAGAAAAACTGGACCGGGACAAAGACAGCAAGATCAACTTTGAGGAGTTCACGTCTGTAGGTAACGCTAACTAACTAACTAACTAACTAACTAACTAACTAACTAACTAACTAACTAACAGCTCTTGTTATCTGTTGGTCTGGTGATTGACAGCTGATTGGTGCTCCATCTTCAGAACCATAATGACATCACAGAGCTAAATCTAACCCAACCTAAAGATGGATGCAGACATTAACAAACAATAAATGATCAAAGTCAGACATGTCGTTGGCCGTTTCTCAATAAGTTAACTTGTGCATTCTTGTGCTCGTGAAACGTCATCAGCCTCAACCCTAGTGCTGTTCCCGTTCACAAGAACAAGAAGACAGAGAGCAGACAAAGTCCCCGGATGTTGATCTCGCCCCTCCCTCTTTACCCAGCATCCATCAGAGCAGACTTGTGTGTTCCTCACACTGTCAGCTGTCCCAGCATGCACTGCAGCAGCAGCAGCTTCCAATGGAGCGCTCACAAAGCTCACAGTACTAAGTTAAAAGTTCTCTTTTCTGTTGCTGTTGTTCCACACACAAGAAACCTGCACTGAATGAAGGTTCTGGTGCTGCTTTAAGCCCAGCACTATGATTATAAAGATTTCTTTCACCTGTGTAGGCCACCCAAGTTCTTCCCAAAGATCCTCTATAGTAGAGATGCACAACTCACACTAACCCACACACAGGAACCCTGACAGCGGTCCTCTAATCCGTGACCTCCGATCTAGAGGCTACTAGTTACAGCAGCTCCAGCCTGCCTACTGATGGTGGTCAGAGGGCCCTATGGCGCCAGTGTACGGCAGCCTTGCCTTTGTCAGTGAGCCACAGGGCAGCTGTGGCTACAATGTAGCTCACCACCCTCAGTGCGTGAGTGTGTGAATGAATGGGTGAATGACTCAATATACTGTAAAGGCTTTGGTTAAGTCTCTTGATTTGAAAAAGCGCTATTTAAGTACAGGCCATTTACTACCTTTGAATGTAGTGATGTCACAAGTAGGTTTCTGTTCCAATTGACACAGATTTATTCTGCGTGCTCCCGTTCTCCCTGAGTCCATACTTTTCTGAGTTCTTGTCAAGAACGTGTCGAGAACACAAGTCCCTAATCACGTTCTTGTGAATTGAGGAACGGCCTCTGTCTGTCTGGGCTCTAAGCTCTTCCTGTAGATCTATGCAAACTGACCTCTGATCCCTTAAAAAGCAAAGCAGATTCTAACCCATTGGACCCGTCTTTCTTCTGGACTCTCAGATCTTCCAGGAGATGAAGGACGACCGCATGGCTCAGGGCTTCAGGAAAGCTCTCAGCAAGAAAGAAGGCGTTGTAGCCATCAAAGGCACCAGTGAAATCTCCAGTGAGGGAACCCAGCACTCCATCTCTGGTTAGTACAGCCTGCAGGCACGCATTCACAGGCTTTTGAAGCAATTCATGTATAGTGACATGAGACTGGACTCTGTTTCAGAGCAGGAGCGCTTCGCCTTCGCCAACTACATCAACTCAGCTTTGAAGGAGGACCCAGACTGTAAACATATTCTGCCCATTGACCCGAACACCAGTCATCTGTTCAAAGCCGTGTCAGACGGCATCATACTCTGGTAAACCTTAACTACCTCCTCTTCCTCCTCCATATCTGCTCTCAGGTTCTGAACTTCTGTGTGGTTTCCCCTCATTAATCGCTGCAGTAAACTCATCAACCTGTCCGTTCCTGACACCATCGATGAGAGGACGATTAACAAGAAGAAGCTCACCCCTTTCACCACCCAGGTTAGTCTTTTACTGATGCATGAACACCCATCGCTGTTGGTCCTGAGGTCCAGTCCACAACAGTATCAAGCTCCTCCTGACTTGACCAACAGGAAAACCTGAACCTGGCTCTGAACTCCGCTTCAGCCATCGGGTGCCAAGTCGTCAACATCGGCGCCCAGGACCTGAAGGAGGGGAAGCCTCACCTGGTGCTGGGTCTCCTCTGGCAGATCATCAAGATCGGACTGTTTGCAGATATACAGCTGAGCCGCAACGAAGGTGAGCATTCACAACCCTGCAAGCTCCCGCGTCTTGCTCCTCTCTGAACATCGTCGTGTTTCACAGTTCTGGCGGCGCTGCTTGAGGAGGGGGAGACTCTGGAGGACCTGATGAAACTCAGCCCTGAAGAGCTGCTGCTGCGGTGGGCCAACTTCCATCTGAGGAAGGCTGGCATGACCATCTCCAACTTTTCTGGAGATATTAAGGTGAGAAGGTGACACTGTGGGATGATTTCCTGTATCTCTGCTCGTGTTGTTGGGCGATTCTGATGTGGTTTTAACCTAATGCCCTACCTGGTTTAGCTTGTTTGCTAATATTCGCTCAAGGTGCCCATGTTGTTTGCCATGTTTCCAGTAGTCTAGCTGTAAAAAAGAAAGAAGGGGGATGGTGGATTTTTATTTAGAAGCCTTATTAACAGTCTATTAACCTAAAACAATATGCATGGCATGTTTAACCAAGCTGTTTTAGGCTTCCCCCTCTCCAATTTTCCCTTTACTCCAAACATGCAGTAAGTCCGAAATCTTGCGAGACTTGCAGCAATATTTTCCCACAAGACTTCCAATGAGAGTTAATGAGTACACTGCAAAAAATTTAAGTCTAAATAAGTCTTTTTCACTTCAATTAAGTGCATATTCTATTGAATTGAGTAGGGAAATTAGACACTTTGCCAAAGGAACAAGACAATTTACATTTAAATGAGAAAAAACAATTACTTTGTCTTTTTTCAAGTGCATATTAAGTATTTATATGGGTTTGCTCTTAAATTAAGGGTAAATACACTTAATTTCAGATTTATTTAACTTACTTTATGTTGTTTTTGCAGTGCTGTGTTGAAAATGGGATGTATTCATAGTATCCTGCTTAATTGTTTGTGTTTTCTCTGCAGGACTCAAAGGCGTATTTCCACCTGCTGGAGCAGATTGCTCCAGATGGCACCAAGGAGGACGTTCCTCGGGTTGAGATCGACATGACTGGTCTCTATGTGAGTACTTTGTGAGAAAAATAACTTCCTGTTTAAAAGCAGAGATGTTTTCTGCAGCTGTCTAACGTGACGGCTTGGCCTGCTTGTCTGGACAGAGCAGCTTCTTGGCTTTATGTCAGAAATGGCCACACTGAGATCACTCTCCACTCTGAGGAGTTATCTGTAACTGTTTTTTCTGTATTCCATTGCAGAAAGGGTCTTCTTTGCACAGATATGTGGATGCAAATGGAAAAACATCAATTGCAGTGTTTAAAGGTGCTTTGTACTCTGTTGCTACTGACAACCAGAACTCATTTAGCACGCATGCAGAGAACTAGCAGTCTATAATGTGGGATCAGAGGAGAGATGGAGCAGGGCATCCTGCAGCTCTGATGACAGCTGATGCACTGTGAAATTTTCCGGCCTGTCATAATTCTGGGAAAACTTTCAAGCTGGCTCCTTAGGTGAGAGGCACTAATTCCTTTCATAGTTTGAAAGGTTACATCATAACTCTCCATAAAGACCTGGCTGTGACTCCATGCTGAAGAGAAATATCAGCTGTGCTGCTGCCATCAACACCTTTGTTTAAAGATGCTGGAGATCGGCCTGTTTTTCAGTGTAGTCCTGTTTCTCTGACTGTGACTGGCTGGATGTGCTCTCTTCATCCTCTGAAATGGGAGTTGGCTTGGAGCTCGTCTGCCTGGCTGTGTGTTTCCTGGATGGGGCCACCTTTTACAGCTGCTTTTTGTGTCTCTGCTTCTGTCTCCTTGAACCCCAGTCGGCCTC